GGGGGCTAAAAATGGAGTGGCGCTGTCTTGTTTTTCCCCAAGGCGGGTCCCTATCTTATTTGCTGTTTTTTTAGCCCGCCCTTCTGCTTTTAAAAGAGCATTAAAGCGGACTGATGCAACCGCTCTCGTGTCCGTCTGTCCGTCCATCGTCTGTGTAACAGAAAGAAGATGAGCTATTTCAGGGGGTCACTCCTGGACAACGAAACGCCTAGTGCAAATCCTGGCAACCACCCCTAAGGTGGTGAAAGGGGGTAACAAACAAATAGGGGTTGGTCCAAAAAAGTAGAAAATCATTTTTTGTTATGGTTCCGTAAGGGGTAACTCGTGAAAGTAGAATCCTTGGGTCTGAAATTTTGTCCGTTTGCCTCTATCTTGCACCGTTCTCGCGCTTGAGTGTTTCCTTCGACGAAAATACGGTGAAAATGACCACGTTGCACATGAAGACGTAAAAGGAGGCGTCCAATCGTTAAATGTCAGAGGAAGTACCCCCCCCCCCAAAAAAAAAAAAAAAAAAACACACAAAAAAACAGGATATTCTGCGTCAGGTAGCACCCTCCGATTTACCGTATCTGTAACCGTTTAGGAGCTGAAGGTTTTTCTTTTTTTTGGCTGAGCGATAGCGAAGTCTATTACTCCAGTGATGATCAAAAAGTTTCGCGTCTGTCTGTTTGTCTGTCTGTCGGTCTGTCTGTTCGCACGATAACTCGAGAACGGTTTGAGGTAGAAGGCTCAAATATTTATTGTAACTTTGTTTCATTAAAAGGAAGAACTGTATTGATTTTGAGCCCTCTGGCTCAAAAATTGACGTGTCAAAAAAATCACAAACAAAGAGCCCAAAACATTTCTTTTTAAAAATATTTTTTTTTACATTTTTCTAAGAAGCAACTCTTTACAGTAGAATCCTGAGGGCCAAAATTTTGTCCGTTGGGCTGTATCTCTAACCGTTTGGGCACCAGAGGGCGTTTTCACCCAAAAATCACCCCCAAACATTGAATTTTTTTTTCTCAGATATATTATGTGTCCGGTGGGGTAACTCGTCAAAGTAAAACCCCGAGGCACAACATTTGTGACTTTTGGGGCCGAAGGCCTATTAACGACCGTGCCTTTTGCCCGACTCTGGTGTCAGCGCCGCAGGCCTAGGTAGATGTATGCCAGGTGCGTCGCAGCGTAACAGT